TACGGGAAACTGTAGAGTGGATGGTGCAATCACATCACATCGTTGAGCGCACACAGTCGATTGTCGGTTAGGTAATTTTCAGTGTTTGTAGTAGTGCAAGTTTCGAGAGACTGATAATAATTACCTCGACAGTTGTTAGTTTATTGCTTCTCGATTTTTCTCCTCGTTGAATTGTATCCTTATGACTTATGCACACAACTACGCCTACAATTTACGATGATCACTTTTCGGGGAAGATGAAGCGGGCGATCTATGCGCTATCATGTCATACCGGAACGGGGTGAATGTTGGACATTAGCGGTGGTTTTTCAGCAGCATCATCGTACAGCGAGATACAGTGACGCTAACTTCACTAATCACTGGCAAGATTAAATTGTAGTTATAGTACTCGAACTAAAAATAATTTCATACGTCACTTATTGACCACTGAGTTGACCTCTTCATCAGAGACCTAACTAGCCTTGAAATGCGACTAACTGATAAAGATTATATTCGAATGAAATGTTTTTGAGCTGATCGACGGAGTCCGTTGGATAGGTGTTTCGGACTGGTCAGGTGTGTGTAATTTTTGTGTCCTTATCGACCAGCACAACGATTTCCATAGAATGGTACGATCTTCTGAGGAATGTAACTATAACTCAAGATCATCAATGAGACTTGGTGTCTGTCGAAAAAACCGAATGGTTTAATCCAAACATTCACCGTCTAAACTGAAAGAAACAGTTGAATTTCCTTTGAATGCCCGAACTCCCCCCGAAGTACTTAACAATGGAACCTGGGACCGCCTCACTTCTTCCATACATATACCAACAGAGTATTTGATTTCCTCTCCCGGATATTTCTCTGTTTTTCGACCTACTTTAGTTGCACCACAGCTGCCCTCGCTATGCAACTTCAATATCTAATTTTGTATAGCACGGTCCCTGAGGCGTTTACACGCCTTGTTCTGAGTCAAAGGTCTTCGTCCTTTTTAATTGGATGCGATCGATAGTCGTCAAATCCGTTGTCCCCCCCCCCAACACTTTTAATGAATTCTAGAAAAACCAACCCAGGGTGGCATAATTTCATGTATTGCCGTACCGAAACATTCGGGACGCCAGGTGTACGCCACCGGTTCGTACAATGGATCCATTGTCGTGTACGCCGAACCGGGCAATCCGATCATGCATCTGGACACGGGTTCGGCCGGGGTGACACAAGTGCAATTCACCGCCCGGGTCGGACACGAAACCGGTTCTCCGTGGTATTTGGTGGCCGGGAACCGAATGGATTCGCGTGTGTTTCTCTGGGACGCTCGTCAGATCCAAAAGCCCCTGCTCGTTTTGCATCGTCGTGTGGAAAATCATCAACGTTTTCAATTTGATTTCGATCCGTAAGTGCTCCACTTTTCTCTCTCCCCCCTCCGCAAACCAGTGTTCTCCTTCCTGTATCCGCACAATAATTTGGTTGAGGATGACGTAAATACTTGTCCTCAGATGTTTTTAATGTGTCAAGTGCACGTAACTAACCGCTCACAATGCATACAAGATGATTGATGATGATGTCAAGTAAGCAGAGGTATAACCCATTTTAAGAAAGAGGAACGATAGTGAACCGGTATGGTCAGCACTGAGTAAATTATCTCGTAGTGCATACTCACGTTTTCAACCTGACAAGAAATGACAACAAGGGAGCTGTTGCTGTCGTTTTACTATCATATCCTTCAATGTTTCCATTGAACAAGTTATGGTGTCCTTGGAATCTCAACCTGGAAGACGGGAAACACGTCTACCTAGTGACTCTGTTTCTTCATACCTTGCTTCTACACCTTCTGTTGACATTCACTTGATTTCCTCCGACCTGGAGCGTGTCTACAGCCGATAGGGTGTGGTGCCATAGACGACACTTGGGCATGCGTCATTCGTCCTCACCAGATAAGCCTACTCATCTGAATTGGATACGGTATCAAATTTATCCTCAACAGACTTCCTATTCTGTTCCAAGCGCTTCTTTACACTCAAACACCTTTTATGCAAAGCTCGTCACGTATGGAGTGGAGCTTCGTATTCCGTTCTTTTTTCTTTGAAGGTATTCAACGTAAGGTCAACCACATGATCGAACAATCGTCATTAGTTTCCAACCTTCAGTCACTTTCCCATCGCGGGCTAGTTGCTTCGTTCTCTTTCCTATCGTTACGATTTCTTTTTTTGCTCGTCTGAACTCGTTTGTGTGGTTCTCGTCCTCTGCACCTTGTCTCGTCTATCTCCTAATCAGGTGAACAGTCACCTTTATCAGGCTTCCGTCCCCAGATGTCGGACTTCTCTCTTTCTTTCTCGAAGTTGTCATACACTTCCCTTCTCCATATTCCCAAACACTTATAATCTTACTCCTTTCAAAAGCAGGATTAACAATTTTTTTCACCTTCGAAGCTCAGTCACCAACGCCTCTGGCTCTCTTTCTCCGATAGACGGACCAATCGAAAAGGGTTACGTAGGCCTACTTTTACGGCTCTCGCCTTGGGTGCATTACAGCGTAAACATCGCAACGGGAATTGGAGCACACCCACAAAGCTTAGCATTGAATGATTTCGGGTGCTGTGACAGGATTCCTTTTAGCTATTTGATTCCCTTTGGTCTGTGGTGGTAAAGCGTTACCTGCTCTAGTCATGATAGCACACGAATTCTGACGACGAGAATTACTGCCACCACCCAACAGACAGAAGTCAAACGAGTTCACTAGTCTGAGTGACCCAATTTCGACAGACACGATCGGAATCAGTTAGTACTTAATGCATGTACTGCTATGAGGTGGTCACTGTTTTTTTTTCGACTAGGCACTCGCTGTCAATCACACAACTGTGTACTGTACAATTTTAATCAGTTGACTGGTTGGGTGAACTTCGGGCGCCCATTCTCATGCATAGTGCAGTATAAAGGAAATCAAATTATCTTATTTTTTGTTTTTGCCTTCGTATCGCACCTGTTACTGATGTATATTGCTGATGGTTCTGGTTTTTCAACGACCTGCTCCAGTTGTCTGATTAAATTGATTGAACTGTCCCACCCGTCACGTAATGCTTCTCGGCCCCTCTCGTTCGCTCCACTTGAACGTGTGCAGATGAGCTATCCAATCTCATCTGACTGATTGCCCTGACGGTTGCAAACCTGACCTGAATGTATGATTTTTACGGTTATTGCGCTTGCGATTACTGTCTCAGTTAACACCTGGCTGCTTTCCAATCGATCTGCAATTGAACTTTGATCAGTTCTGTGTTCAACCAATTCACGCACTCATCAGTCAGTCAATCATCTGACATGATCATCTGACAAATCCTCCCTAATAAACCACCGATCACTTGACAGTCTCTAGACCATTACAGAATCCTAAGTGTCTGTTGTGGTAAACACGTCGGACCTCCGATGCTACTGCCCTACCCATGTCAATACCACTAGTCCCTAGTCTGTTCGATGTTCGCATCCCCCTGTCGCTTCTGTCTACGTCAGTACGGTCCTGTGCTAAGCTGACATTCCTGCTGCACAGTTCATTCATCCTCAACCTGAGTTAGACAGTGGTGCAAATCATTCCTAATGCTTGATGGTTACTGATATATAAAGCACACTGAACCAGAAAGACTTGTGCAGCTACATGCTTTTAGATACTTCCCTCCAATGCGGGACGATTGATATCAATTAATCTGCGTCATAGTTACGCTTGGCCTTTTTCACAGTGTGCTGATTCATTACCAGTTATTTCCCCCTAAAAGTCTCTTTTCCATCTGTCCGTTCAACTTTCCCCTGTCCAGCCTCTGTGAATATTTTTTCACTGGAAGTCAAACCGGAGCGGTGTGTGTGTACGACTTATCGGCCTGTTTAGACGACTACCACGCCTGCCAACTGGTCAAACCGTCTCTTGTCTGGCGTGCACACTCGGACTGTGCGCACGGGTTGAGTGTAAATCCCTGTCTCCCCCTGGTGGCCACCAGTTCCGGGCAAAGACGTATCAGGCTACCGTCAATTTTCACTTCACGTCGAGCCAAACGTCCCCGGATGCCCGAACCACCGGCTGACTCTTGCTTGGATTCTGCCCTGTCCTCCTCGAATCCGACCAGTAGCAGTGGCGAGGCTGTTGCTCGTGATAACAATGGGAGCAGCTCAGATAGCCATAGTAGTCTGTCCGAAACTGGACTCACGGACGAGGAAGCTTCATTGATTCCTCCCATCCAAGTGGATAAGACGTGTGCTTCGGAGCTAATCACCGGTGAACGTTCCCTACCCCTTTGGGGTAAATTGACTAGATTGCCCCGGGAAAACCGTCTGTGTATGTGGTCTTTTCCCACGTTAACTGTTCCTTCTGAAAACCCTACGGGTTGACTGTCTATTATTGCTTCTCGTATTTTCTACTTGTGATCACCTCAGCTGTGTACATATGACCATTTTTGATCAACTTGTTTTCCCTTTTCCCTTTCTTTAATGGCTTAAGTGCAATAACGCGATCTACCAACTACAATTTGGGTTCACTGCATGTATCCCAACTTTCACCTTTGACCCCGAAAAGCCCAGGTATGCATCAACGGTCACATCCGGTTAATCTACTTGATGGATGGGCTATGAGCCACACTAAGGATAGTGATGGCTTAAAGCACCTTGGCGAGATGATGTACGACCAGATGAGTTTTGCCTGATCCAGCGACCATAAGGGAAAAATTCGTCCTAAGAGGCCTGAACGCGTGGTCTGAATCGATATCAGCTGAACGAGGTTAAAGGAGGCACCGACAAGCATACAGCAGCACTGGCGCTTTGCAGTTCGTAAAACAAGGTTGTGTTAGGGTAAAATTAATGCTTGTGCGCATGTGGTAAACGAGAACAGCATCCTTATCCTGGAGATACGACACGTGATTGGGGAACCTACGAGTGCGGTGTTTCTTGTAGCGGTGGTTCCTTTTGTAGGCAGGTATCATGTATATTTCATACACGTCTGAGGCCAAACTGTGTACCAAACAAATCATGGTACAATAAGATTTAGAAAAAAAAAACATTCTATGATTCGCATGTGGGTCGAATACTGCCAGGCTGCCCAGGCCTAGGCAAGTGAATTTTCTTGAGGAATCCACAACTGGAGCATTCGGCTAGCCAAAGCCTGACCCGCAAGGCAGCTGGGCGGTGTGTGAAAA